CTTCTCCTCGCGGAGTGGAGACTTAGAGGCTGTACGCTTCTTTGAGGGCTTGGCGCCTTCGGCTTTAGAGGCCTTAGCACGCGGAAGACCCTCGGCAAGCGAGAGACGTTTGCGAGGATTCTCTTCCTCATCGCCACCGGCTTTGGGAGCGCCCTTAGCCTTGACGGCCGGACTCTCGGAGCGCACCGACGTTCTGGGATTGTGACCACCTTGATCACTAGCGAGCGACTGCACGCTGTCATCTTTGTGCTCACTGGACACTGGGCTGTGCCCTCCCACAGAGCCCGCAGGAGCATCGTGCGTTCGGTCAGGTTCTAGAGCAGCAGTAGGCTTTAAGACTGACGAGTACTTGCTCTAGCATTTCGCTATGACACAGACAAAGGCGATCGAGATGGAAAACTGCAAACGGCTGCAGTTGTTTAATGTCGATGGAGCGAAATCAAGGTATTTGTTCTTGTTCTCTATGGATAGCCTCGTCCACATCGTGCGTCTAATAAACCTGCAGCCTGTAACGCTAGATTAATGCTCTCAGCAGTGCCAACACACGACGCCAACCTTGGCGTCGCTCTCTCAATTGTCCGTTGATTAGTAATACTTCAGCTAGCCGAATGCTAACGACATCTGGTTGGTGAATTTAAACAGACTACACAATCTTTCAAAAAATTAATTTCGTACTAACACATATTAAGTTAATATTTATTAATATCATTTTGTATTAGAAGAAAATATTAGGAGATATTTTCTTATGAACCGGTCTGCACAAATTGAACGCACTTTAATGCATAAAAAGTGTTACTGTTTGAACTTTCATTGAGTTTGGTATGATAAGTGATCAATCTTTAGTTAATTACAAGCTCTAACAGAAAATACACGTGTGCGTTGAACAAGTTGCTCGGGCCGCAGTGTGGACCTGGTGGTCTAAACCGTTCTTCTTCGTGCACTTAATTCAGTGCACTATCAGACGATCCTCTCTACATAGATACCCCCAATAGTAATTTCCTCCAAATAAAGTGGGTGAGAGGGTCGCTTGCTGATCTCTATCCTCTCATTAGTGAGTAGAAATTCAAGAAAGACGGATATCGTTAATGAGAGGAGCTGAACTAAGCATTTGATCATTTCTGTAGAGGTCGATTGAAAATGTAAGGGTCTATTGAAAATGTGATAATACACTTTCTTGATTTTCCCGTTCAGATATATCCGCTTGCGTAAATTCAATACGTATTAAATTAAAGCGAATTGTATCTTTTTTTCTGAGCAATAGTGGGCATTGAGATTGAGGTCTTATCCATGTTTAATATATTACGCAGTTTATCCTCCTACAGCCTCTAGAGGTCACTAATTGACGCAACCAATGTGTGCTGTAGCTAAATACGTTTTGAGCACACAACGCACGCTGGACCTGTCTCAATGGCGGATGTCGGCTTTGTGGCTGCAGATCTGTCATTCGTCAACCTGTTTCGCGACGTGGGTGGAGCCTTAGTGGGTAACGGTGTAAGCCGCTTTGCGGTGTAGGGCGGGGAATTGATTAATGCCATTATAATAATAATTTTCCACCATAAATAAGTGATATTAATAATGAAAAAGGTGGCCTTCTATTTACATAAATCTTCTAAAGAAGCTAATAGATATTGACTCTCGACTATGTTCCGGAGATATGCAAGAGGTCGGGTAGTTTCGTATAGCATGTTGAATACTTGGTAGTATCTCTGCTTGCCAGGAATTTAGCACCTTTGCAGTATCGTTTGCGTGGGTTTCGCCCATAACGTTGCGAAATTGCTGTTTATCACTAGTTCAATCTGGTTGTCGTGCTGCGTGGGTGATGAGTTGTTGCTTGTGAGTTTGTCTTCTGCGATGCTTTTTCTCAACCGTGAGTCTAGATTAATGACGCGTAGGAATCCTAACATAACTTTTATTATACTAAAAAGATATATTAGACGGCGTCGGGAGTCCGCATTTTATTATTATATAGAGGATTCATTATTGGGAGCTGTGCCCAATATAAGGTACACACGACACTGACAGGGATGCACTAGAAATTCGCACCCTTTCTTAAAATACCGTACGTGCCGCTTCACCATTCAGTCGTGGCACGAATATTTAGCGTGCACGGCTTCAAAGCCGGCTTTGTGTGCCTTAAGCGTTTTGAAATAATGTTCCTGTAACCGTCACCAGTCTCTTGCCACGAAAGGTTAAATCATAAGGCAAAAAAATCGTCTTGTTCAGATGTAATCGAATCTGAGGCAGAAATGAAAGCTTTTATTTTATCAAAAACTGTGGTGAATTTCTTACGGTTCACTACTATTTAGGTCGCATGACTAAATAGGGTAGGCGGTGTACCTCTGTACTGTAATAACACCTCCGGTTTGAGGGCAGTTGAACTGCTGTGTCGACGAAACTTGAATATGGAGCATTTAAGTCTTGAAGTTTGCCAGTTCAAGATGTACATAACTTATTTTCGAAAGGTCTTGAGTTAGGAAACATGCAGTGTGATACATGGACTGTAAGCTTAGTAACTGTAGTCGAACAAATTAGTTCGCCTAAGGCCATTGGCGTTGGATAGCAAGCAAAAGCGACGTACTTATAACCAGCATCCGCGGCTTCGTAGGTTCTTTCGCGGTGTGCGTCCAGTATGTATTTATATGTGCTTATAGGTTTGCTGGTTTTGTTTGTTTACGGAAAAACAGCACTGTACTTGGCACTGGCTGGATATGCGGCGCCCACGCCAGGTGTGCTTGCGGAAGTTTCTGTTGCACGCGACGTACGACGGTCGTACCGGTACATGTATTATAATAATACGACCACCACAAACAAACCTACCGTATTACAGCCTGTGTAATTTACAGGTGCAGTACATTATTCCATTCCAAGGACTCCTTGGCAAGGAGGAATAATAATCAACTCAATCCGGTTTTATCCATAATTTGTCAGACACCGAAGGAGAAAATAGGGCCTAGCGTACCATGCCGAAACAAGTTTTGTGGTCTTCCAGTGGCTGCTCAACTGGTCGTTCTGGTAAAAAAAAAAAAAACAGGAATGACGCTACAGCAGCAAAAAAAGATTCCCCGTTGACGTCACGTAGAATTGGTTGTAACCCTGCCATATCCGATACGAACAGCAAGAGCTTTATTAATACTGTAAGTTACAGTCTGTAACAGGTTGAAGTTTCACCCACTGCTCAATGAGCAGGCACAAGGCATTGAATTTTGTGCGGAGTCACGCGCTGTTCCAGTGTTGTAGTCGGACGAACGCCGGCTCCCGGAACTGTCTTGTTCTCGAAGATGGGAGAGTCTCCCGGAGACATGTGGTGTTTTTCCATGGCAATTCAACTCTGAGAAGGCATATTGGGAAACGATGGCTACATGTATACATGTATTGGTACTATTAGCGTGCTACTGTACTTTTGTAAGGAATACTAGCCGAGCGCCGCCGCTACGCGGCGGTAGTTTGGGATTAGATTTACTTGTTTTGACCCCCCGCCTACGCTACGGTATAATAATTTTAAAACCCGCTGAACCCCTATGTGCCTAAATCGATTATTTACATTTTAATTTTTTTTATCTGGGTTAGTACCAGGCTTACCTTCTTAAAAATATTTTTTCTAATGATCTCGAATCAAGAATCTTAATACAATCTCTTTATTATTGCTGGCTATCACTGCATGTTCATCTTCCACCCAAAACTACCTGCACCTCAAATAACATGTATGCAAACGCTACACAAAATGTTTAACTAGGCGTCGTGCTCGATATCACGGGCTATTTCTGAGTCAGTATGAAACTTAGCTCACATCAACGCAAAAGATAGTAATGGCCTGTCCACCTTGCACTAAATAACCTAGAGGATGTAGCTCCAATCTCAGGTGGTTGGTTACGTAAGAAAGGAGGTGGTACTCGAACTATGGGTCGACGCAACTGGACGATGCGATGGTGTCGTATCGAGAAGCGCATCTTGCTGGTATTTACAAAACCCGCAGTCTTATAGCGTCGCAAAAGAGGGATGGACCAATCAGCGATCTAGTTTGCGGGATATTGGGATGACCTGTAAGCTTCTCGTCCCACTGGGACGTTGTGTGGCACGGTCTTGGGATACACATTGTGTATTTCATGTACACAAATCCCGCTCATCTCAAGTCCATTCCACAGCGCTGACACGAGCTGTAACACCGGGTTGGAAGTCCTGCGGATTCTCGAAATTGCAGGCATCCCATCCCGCTATTGTGGGCAGATATAAGACCGAGCCTGAGCAACTTGGTGAAATGGGTTCGGTACCGTCCGTGGCCGCGGGATTTCAATGGCTTTGTTCTGGTCGCACCAGCTCTACATCAAGCAGACTGGTTCGCAGCACAGCTTTTCGTCGCAACGGGCTGGCGACCCAAGGTTTTGGGGACTCGGAAGATGAATCGATGACATGGGTGGCGCAACAAGATGCTGGATAGCCACCCGTGGTTTTGGGTTGTCATTTAGAAATTTGCGTTGCTACTCGCAAGAGTACCTGTCCCTTCCTCGAGGATGTTGAGGACATGGCTGGCATTCCTTATGCTTATCGCTATGGCTTTGTACCTACAAACTTTCGTGGCCATCCGCACCGACTTCAGTGCGGACGGCTCAGCTACCAGCGGAGATGACAGCGAGGACATCGTGGCGCCTCCTGCCCACACCGAGAGTCCAGACCTCTCGGAACCCACGGAGCTGCCCCCAGCGCATGCATCCGAATCTTCAAGCAAGGACGACGAATCATTTTTCTCGTTCACAGTTGTTCCAGATATCCAGCTCAACTTTCCTGCCAATGCGACCACACCTCCCAATTGGGTGGGTCCGAGCATTGGAGACTATGCCGATACCGCGTGTTACCGAAAGACGCACACGCTGAACTCGCTAGGCGGGTGCCCGCAGGGATACCACGCGAACAAACACCGCTGCTGGGCACAGTGTCCGATCGCGTACCCCGTGCAGTGCCTTACTGAGTGCATTTCTCAAAATGATGACTGCGTTCTGAACATTATGGCCAAGGTAACCAACCCTGGGTACGTCGTTTTCAACATCGCTACTGCCGGAGTGTTCAACGCTATCTACAAGTCGTTCAAGATGGTCAAGACAGGCCTCATGTGTACCTTTAACATGTTTAACATCGCTGAAGGCATCTCGCGTTACATGCGGTTCAGACAGATCTACACCCCGAACGGGACCAAGGAGGAGCTTCTGGCTGCGGTGTATCAGACAGATATGTTCCTCGTGGACCTCCCTGTCGCTATCACTGCGTGTTTGGGCTACCCAGTCCCACACTACGCGTATTTGACCGACGCCATGGTGACAGCTGCGGAGACTTTTGTGAAGCAACTGATGATCAACCACAACTTGATCATGAGCTCCGTCGACTCGTTTATGCGGTTCTTCAAGAACTCGACGTTAGGCAACTCGACCCGAGACCTTGACGCTGAGGGCGCGGCAAACCTTACAACTATGCTTGACTCGGGTTCAAGATGTGGATTTGAACTCAAGAGAGTCACAGACCGCGTGATTGTCAAAGTGGGAGACATTCGTGAAGCCAACCCATCAGCAACAAACGAGGACATTCGCACCGAGATGAGCCAGTCGTCGATCGTACTCAACGACGTTCCACAAGTGACCAACAACTGCATGGTGGACCTGCTCAAGACGAAGAAGCCGTACGCTGCGTATCAAACGCGCGATATATTGAGGAAAACCTTTGGCGTGATCATTGACCAACTCATCGATACGTCGACGACGGACCTGGGCGTGGCCAAGTCAAAGGAGGAATACTGGATCTCAACTGCTAATCTTGGCCTCCTCGGTCTCTCCGCTATGGATCCCACGGGTATCGCCTATACGATGTTCAATTATGTGCAACCTGTGTGCGGTCCAACCGAGTTCATCGGCGAGATTGATGACGGATCTGCTACTGATGCACTTGGTCTGACGACTGTGGACGACGCGTTCCGTGGCAGTAACGGCACTTGGACGAAGAAAGGTGACGGCATGGTGGTACTGACGTTTGTCAGCACTGACAACAAGGACGTGGATGTTATTATCCACTCTGGCGGCAAGAAGTTTGCTTCTGTCATAGTTTGCAGCGGACGGACTGTGACCTGGACGTCGACAGTGAAGCAGATGCAGGAGAAGACCATGTACTTGGACCGCTGGCGTCCGGGCTTTCTAAATCTTCCTGGGTCTGGTGGTGGCTCTCTTCTGCTATGGGTGCCGAGGTCGTCCGAAGGTGGTCACCTCGAAATGATCGTCAAAATCAACAAAAGTTAGAGTTAGAAAAGCAGTTAGGACTCAGTAAATTAAAATAGAGAGTCAGCTATGCTAGTTGGTGAATATGCTTACCGGATGTCTGAAAACTCCTTTACCAGGGAAGTAACGCCGGATTCTAGCCCGGTTACGCTTAGCCCACTTGGCCTCTTGGGGTATCTTGGTTAGAACATGTAGTCTACATGTGCTGGTTCGTAAAACTACCAAGACATTTAACATTTGGTTCAAATGTGGTACATATTAAAGTGTAAGAACCATTGGATTGGTCAGTTTTTTTTTTTTTTAAGGCTACAGCTAATTGGTGGGTTTTCATTTATTCGCTTTAGGATTGGGGGAAAATGAACAAGCAATACGATAAATTCCACTAAGTTCGAATTTACCAAGAACTTTCAGGTTACCTTTGTGATGATTGGACGATCCATTTAGATGCGTGGATCAAGGGCTAATGGTAACCAGATAATATATCGTATTTTTTTATAGTAATCATACAATTTGCGCTATTAAATATAAATAGTAGCGCAGTTGTTCAAAAATTAACTCACCGGTAATATTTAAATATTAGCTCAGATATTTAAAAAATATTAGATACTTTATAATATTGTATAAATATATATCCACTTAAGTACGTTTCTTCGGACCCGGACATTTTACTGACAACTGCGATACTATACCAAAGACACCCCGAGATGGGAAACCGGCTGCAGAGAGACTTTCAACCATGTTTATAGGCACAAGGGATTGACCTGAAACCGCCTGTGGACTGAGAAAAGCTTCAAAAAAAATCGACCAGGAGCCATGTGGTAAATTTAACAATGAGCCCCCAATTTTCGTGGCGGGGTCCACTATTAAGAGCACCAACGACAGCCAGTTTATGATGAATGCATTTATTGATCGATTTTGTACCAATCCTATCCTGCCACTTAAATATGTTTATGTAACGGGGTAAGAGATACCGTTACTAGCTTACACTGTAATGCGGAGGAAGCTCGCAATAATAAAACCAAGTCTTAGGTTTGTGTCAAATTCAACTCTGACTTATTTAGGACCAGGGCGGCTACCCCTGGCCTCGTGTGAACCACTCAAACACATGTCTATATCTGATTGGTCAATAAGTGAGTCTGGCTCCTCACTATCAACCAATCAGATGATGACACCTTGGCACACGCTACCCGTGTGCCACTTTACCTACTTATGTAATAACTAAAGAAATATCTACCTACTTATGTAATTGGAGTTGGGCCCATTACAGTTTAGATTCGCACCCATCCTGTGGCTCACAGCCTAGCAGAGCTCAACACACACAAAACTGGTCCCGACAACGAGGCCTCTACGCTCAGTCTTTTTTTTTTCGCCCAACTACGCAGACCTCCAACTCGACCGCTCAAGCTCCACAGCTCAGACTGTCGGTCAATCAAGAATCACCCCACGGCCCCCCTCCGTTCACAGCTTCTCCTCACCCCCTCATCCAACGACACTTAGCGGAAGAGCACAGGGCTATGTCTTGAGGACGCTAGTTCAAATCCAGCCGTCGCCATCTTTGGGATTGTAGGGTGGAGGTTCGTCACGGGCTAGTGACTGAACGTGTGGTATCTGGGTTAAGTAAGATGTGGTTACGCTGTGTTCATTATGGCAAATGTGCATGATGAATTTGCTAGCTATGCGCTCCTGTGCTAGTCCTTAACTTCTAAAACGTCTTGGGTGTAGCCAGGAGCGGGGTCGCGAATGGCTTCAGACTGGAGGCGTTTTTGGTGGCGCTTGATTCTGTCGTTTTGGTCCCCTTTGCTGTGAAGCGCCTGAAAGCGCTTAAGGACGACGCTCGACCCACGCGAGCTGATCTTTTTCTCGCCGTCCAGGAAGGCAAGTACGGCTTTCTCTGCTTTCTTGCCCACCTCAAGAACACAGTCACGATAGTCGTTAGCATTTTAATCAAGAACGAAGCCGTCTTCAAGAAAAATCTTCATGAATACCACGAGCAATTTTTTTCTCGCCCGCTTTTGGTTTGGCACCAGCTCGTACTATCGAGGATCTTGGTCGTACCACACAAATCAGGTAGCATGCAGGTGAGTTGGAGATCCCCGACGTTGTTTCTTGCTTAGCGTGCTAACTTCTTTCGTACCTTCATCTTGACAGCTTTGTTTTCTTGGTGTAGGCTCGCTGTTTTGCTTAGCTTCGAGTGCATCTATACGAGCGTCCTGTCGCTTGATGTGCCCCATAATGTGCTTAATTACAGCCGCTTGGTCGTCGATGGTCTTCTGGTTCTCGCTTGGCTCTCGTTGCTGATCATCGTCGTTGTGGGTGGGTGCATTACTTGTCTTGGTGTCTTCACAGGTAGTGAATGAGGCTTCCAGGTGCGAGAACCTTGCAAGCAGCTCGGCTGGTGAGCGTCCAGCGAGAGCATCAGCCGCTTCGATGCGCTTCACAACTGGACTGGTGGGCTCAGGTCTTTGAGTAGCGGGAAGTGACGGAAGACGCGTGCCGTGAGGACGCCCATTACCTTCTGGTTGATGTTGAGGCTGTCGGTTTCTGTAGCTGAAAGAAGGTAGCATACAGGACACGCTGCACCCGTTTCATCGCTTCACGCGTCTCCGTGTCAAAGCCAGTCAAGTCTTCCGGCGGCACCGCGGTACTGGGTTTGTATCCGCTGAGTAACTTCGCTATCTTGTGGTCTTCTTTGCTTGCATTGAAAAAATAGTTGAACCCTTCGTCGTGCTTAGATTCCAGGAGCCTCTGTCAAAGATCCAGCGTGCAGTCATCTCGTCGCAGACGTTTGCGTGCTGAGCGCCTCCCCTTCGAAACGAGTGCGATGTCAAGGTGACATCAACACCAGTAGCAGGCGCCACACGGTCTAGCACCCGCAAAATGCTCGCGTATACTGTAGGGGCTGTGGCAACGCGCGCCGGGGCTACTGGATCGGCAAGCCCATTGGTGACTTGCGGAGCGTTGAGCAGCTCGATCACCGGGACGTCGAGAGAAAGCGTGGAGCTGGCGAAGCCTGCTTGTTCTGGGAGGCTGCCGACGAGGGCTGGCCCTGGGGCGGCTTAAAGAATTTAGGCGAGCGCAATGGAGAGCAAGGGGCACGTAGCCAATTTAGTGTCAGAAAATAGCGACAGCCCCTGCTCCTCAGACGTCTTCACGCGAACCAAGCGCAGGAAGAAGCCGTCGCCTGTGTCCACTGACATGTTTTGTTCGTGGACCATGGCTAGGTCGGACACGCGGCCGAACAAGTACCAGAGAAGACATAGTAAAAATGCATCATGATCGTCACTTTCTGAGCTAGCATAAGCGTGCAAATACATCATCATTCTTTTCAAATTATCTTTCGTACAAGGTGGTGCCTTCGCTATGAGCCCACCACCATCTCGCTTCAGACAGCTGTCTAGTGACTCCCCATTTTCAGCAACCGATCTTCCCATGAAGCTCGGTGCTTAGGAAACTGATCGAGCAGCCAGAGCTTGGCTTGCCGAAAGTACTGCATGGCGGTGTTGCGTGCTATTGGCTTACCTTTATTTACTTCCTTAAATGCAATATACATACCAAATTTATCCATCACACACACGAACGTTTTCCGCTCTCATCACTATCAATGCACGTCCTTATATATATTCCTGGCCAACTTCCTCTTCTTTGAAGAACTTGACGAGCGCACCGATGGTTGTTGCCTTAGCCAGCAAGGTGTTATCAGGATGTAGTTCGTCTAAGCCCATGTCACTGGTCCACTGGTCCGATAGTAACAAAATATGCAAGTGATATGTCAATGACTTAGAGTTTGAAAAGCCATACACATATATTGCGTATCAATCAGACGTGATACGTCCGATCAGCTGGCTTAGATGCCTCGCCTACCCCTATTCCATTTGATTGGTCGAATAACATTATCTTTTTTAAAACGCTATTGGTTAGTGATACAGCAAATTTAAGTGAGGTCCGATAAACCCTCATATTCTACCGTACCGTCTGTGTGAACCGAAGGCACACCAAAGAAAATGAGGGAACGATTGCTTCCCCCAGCGCTACCGCGGTAGGTCCCGCGACGTCGATCGATCGACGCGTTGATGGCGTCGATCTCCATGGACTCGGGGGTAGACTCTCGGGCTTCCGCAGGTATGACTGCGGTGTATGATGCAGCGACCATGTAATCCTCGCGAATCGCGAGTGCAAATGCCTCCTCGAAAGAGGAGGGCTCAGCTCTGGTAAGGCAGTAACGGGTCATACCCTCGCGCATGCCGAACACGAATACGTGGACTTGCGAGGCCATGTCGATTGGCTTGGTCACGATGCATGATGCCAGATATCGCGTCTTCTGGACGTAATCACGCATGGACATTTTCTCTTGCCGATGAGCGAAGAACTCTGCACGAACGCGAGACGCATCTTGCGGCGGGAGCTCGAACGGGAGGTGGAAGTCGCTCTGAAGAGTTTCCAGAGTTGGGGGTCGACAACCAGCTTCCCAAGGGCCATTCTTTGGCCTTCTCGGCAAACCGGGAGAGGAGGAAGTCCTCCTTGGCGGATGGCGCCTCGATGCGTCGCGAGGCGATAGCGATATCGATCTCGCGGAACCACCGGTTTAGCGGGAGCCGGTTTTCACCGGCGCCAAAATACATAGACGTCTCCAACTTGACGACGTCATTGTGGGATGGACGCGAGGTAGTTGACACCCGCCGATTCGAATCGGCGAGCTCGCGTTCCACGAACGCTTGTGCTTGAAGACGTTACTGGTCGGGCGTCGCTGAGCTCAGCAGCGATGCGACAACGGCATCTCCGGACGCCGCTACGTGGCGGTGAAGCACTTCCACGCCACGCGAATGAGATGGGGGAATGCAGCATGCTCCAGGGTCGCCCCGGAGATCTGGACTTGGCTCATCGTAGACTTGGTCGTTGGAAGGACTACAAAGTGGTACCCCTGTCCTCGTGTGAACCACTCAAACACATGTCTACACCTGATTGGCCAATAAGTAATTCTGGCTCCCCACTATCAACCAATCAGATGACGACACCTTGGCACG